TCTGTCTCCTGGGTGGGGAGCCGAGTATATCCCTGTAGCAGCATTTGGTTGGCTACCATGTATTAACTCTTATTATAGTCATCTAAATTGGGTGCATTTCTATTTGGAGATAAGAAATGGATAGTATAACTTCTGGAAACCTCTTTTAAATGAAGATATATAGGTGTCTTAGAAAAATTCAGGCAGTTATATCTGAGTGCCCCTAGAGATTTTTTTAATAAGAATTATTCAGTGATGATTATTCTTTGAATCCCTCAAATGTTTCCATACTACCTAGTTTGGGGCCTGTGATATAAATTCTCACTGTGTGTTTGTTGAAATTATGAAGGGGTGAATTACTGAATTTCATATACTACAAATCCTTACAACTTTAAGTTATGGCCTTTCCACCGTGAGTACATACTCCTGTTATCTCTTTCTCTTCTTGTAAGGACACTAGTCCCATTGGATTGGAGTCCCCTCATGACCTCATTTAATCTTAATTACTGCCATAAAAGGTCTTGTCTTCAGAAGCAGTAACATTAGGATAGGGTTAAACATTTAAATTTGGGTAGATACAATTCAGATCACAAGATTCCACCCTCTGATCTTCAACATCCGCCAGATTCATATCTTTCTCACATGCAAAATATAGTCACCCCTTCCCAACAGCCCCAAAAGTCTTAAGTCATTCCAGCATCAGTTCTAGGTCCAAAGTCTCATCTATGTATTTCCCAAATCAGATATAAGTGAGATTGAGATGTGATTTATCCTAAGGCAAAATACCTCTACAGCTGTGAATCTGTAAAACAGGACAAGTTATATGCTTTGAAAATATGATGGTGGAAAAACAGACATTTCCATTCCAAAATGCAGAGATTAGAATGTTCAATAGCTAGCAAGACAGATTTCATTAGATATTAGAGCTTAACAATAATTATCTCTGACTTGAGCTCTGCCTGTGGTCCCATTGGGGTGGCAGCAGTGCACTTGGTCCAGTTAGTGGCCTTGCCCCCCCCACCCCAAACTTGTGAAGTGGGATAAAGAATCTGGGTGGCAACCCTGCCCTTGAATCCCTGAGTTGGGGGCAGCTTGATCCTCTGAAAGTGAGGATGGGACAGCCTTGACTCCTGGTCTATATTCTCTGGGTCTGTGGAGGGAATGTCAGTTCTACTTATCTCTGAATTATATTTAGAGTAATTCTTCCCTTTTTTTCTTGAAGGATAATGCACATTCACAGATGAATAGCTGTATTATTTCATCCCGTAGAATCCAAGAAGTCTGACAGTCTTTCTTCATTTTGTCCTGTTTCTTTCCCCTTTAGTTCAAACTGACAGCTCACCCAGTCCTTTGTGTTCTCTGTAGAATATACTTTCTCATTTCTTGCAATACATACTGGCTGATAATTTTCCAAGTCTTAAAATTCTGTTACTTTTCACTGAACAATTTCTTCTTAAATTCATCTCTCACCTCTTGAATTTTACTGTAAACAGTAAGGAGAAACCAGGCCATAACTACAACAGTTTGCCTAGAAATTTTCTCTGCTAAATACTCAAGATCATCACTCAGAAATTCTACCTTTCAGAAAATTTTCCATGATTTCCCCAGGCATATCTGCTTTGAAAATGAAAGAAATAATTAACCTCTTATGCCTTTCAAAGTCTTTCTGTTCTAGTTATGAAATTGATTTTTATGCACCATATATTTCACGGCTCCTTACATGTACAAAAATCTCCCAAGGAGTGCAGTTGAATAGGAAGAATAATTTCTAATGTTCTATAGCACTGTAGGATAACAATCATTGATAACAATTGACCAAATATTTCAAAACAACTGGCTTTCTCTATCATAGCTGCCTTTATCACAGAACTATTTTTTCACCATCAAGACTTCTCAAGTCATAGTTGTTTTGATCACAAGAGCAGACTTCTCAAGTCATAGCTGTTTTGATCATAAGAGCAGACTTTCCATAATTCTTGCTATTTAGCATTTAAGGAGATTTTAAAATCTTTGCCTGCACAGCCATACTTATTTTTGTCACCTACAAAGTTTCCAGTTCCTTGTTTTTCTCGGCCATAACTCCTTTGGCAGCCCAACAATTTGCTTAAACTTAGGATTTCTCTAGTCACAACTGCTTTGATCATGAATGAAATCTGTCTTAATATATCTTTCCTTGGCAAAGCTTCTTTAGTCATGAAAGAAAGTTTTCCACTTTCTTTTGGTCTTCACTAACCATTAGCTGCTTTGGTTATAAAAGAAGTCGAGTACAGTTATCCCAATTGTGATCACAAAGGGAATTTTATCTTTCTTTTTATTTCTACTTTGGCCATGGAAAAGTGTTCTAATTATGTGTCTTCCCTGGCATAGCAGGTTTTTGATAATGGAAATCTGTACCATCCTTGTTCTTCTCAGTCCTTCCTTCTTTGGTCAATGAAAATGTATCTTACTTCATTGTCTTCTCTAACTATAGCTGCTATTGTAATAAAAGTACTCTTCTGCTCAGCCTCTTGTGGTTTAGGGTTATCTGGGTGTCTGCGTCAGTAATTGAAGTTGTGGTGGTACCTGCTTTTCCAGGCCATGTAGAGAGCTGGATAGGAAGTGGAGCAGCTGGGTCTTGAACCAGCACCCATATGGGATGCCGGCACTGCAGGCAGCAACTTTACCTGCTACCCCACAGCGCTGGCCCCAGAAAAACATTATTTTGAGTGTATCTGTAGGGGTGTTTCCAAATGAGATTAGCATGTGAGTCTGAGTGGACTATGTGGGGGAGACCCACCTTCAAGGTGGGCAGGCACTTGACCTAATGCTTAAATATGTTCAATATCAGAGTACCCAGGTTTGATTCCTGACTCTGACTCTGGATTCCAGCTTCCTGCAATACAGACCCTGGGAGGCAATGGTGATAGCTCAAGTGATTGGGTTCCTGCCACCCAACCTGGAGACCTGGATTGAGTACCTGGCTCCTGGTTTCAGGCCCTGGGCTTTTGTGGGCATTAGGGGAGTGAACCAGTGGATCCAAATCCCCCCTCTCTCTCCCCCTCCCTTCCTCCCTTCCCCTGTCCTTCCACCTCTCAAATAAATAAATAAGTTTTTAAAGTAAAAAGGCAAATTGGTCTCTCTGAAAACTGGGACATGCTCAGCTTGCTCAGTTCCTACCTTGAACATCAGAACTCCAGACTTGCTGGCCTTTGGATTCCAGGATTTATACCAGTGGTTCCTTGCTGGTACTCAAATTTTTGCTCACAAATTGAGGTAAATCTTTCGTTTTCTTGGTTCTGATGCCTACAGATTTGGAGTGAGCCATGCTGCTCACATCCCATGGTTGCCAGCCTGTAGACAACCTATGGTGAGACTTCTCAGCTGCCATAATCAGGTGAGCCCATTCCCCTAAAAAACTCCCCTTCATATATTTATATGCATATCCTATTGATTCTGTCTCTCTATAGAACCTTGATTAATACAAATGTTGAATTCAAAACAATCTATCACTCCCGAGACTGGTAATGATCATGGTTACCAATGCCCTGTCCCTACCGACTCTGGCTACTTTGCTCATTAAATAATTTTTCTTTCATGTCTGGATTGACCATGTCCAGCCCTTTTCTTTTTTATTAGAGAATTGTTCCATTTCTAGGCTTCAAATGCCACAGGTGCTTTGTTTATAAGCCTTTGAATTTTGTATTTACATTGGCTATGACTGCAGAGTTCAGGAGAAAATTTTTTTCCATTTTCCAGTTTTCAGTGGCCAGGGCTGCTTTGTTCCGGAAAAAGTCTTCCATGAAAACTTTCATCTCTTTCTCTGCAGTGGTTTCGGACACATGATTTGCAGGTTTTGTCATTCCTATGCTCCATTTACCTTAGGGATTCTTCTGTGGTTTGGCAGCTTCTTTCAGACCTGATATGTGCTGTTCCTACTCCAGATCTATATACCATAATTGTAGGTAAGAGGCTTTTAAAAAATTTATCCAAATGTCTTGGTCATCTTTTTACCTCACACTCCTATAGCATGAATTAAGTATAAGCTTAGGTACTCTGTACAATGGGAAAATAATAACTAGATGGGAGGGAGGGGTATAAGCTGACTTGCAGAGGCAAAAGAGAGCTAGTACCAATCAACCTGTCGTTAGATCTTCTTCCCACAGCCCCACTGCAACACCCTCAATGACAGTTCATCTTCATCCCTCAGAAAGCAAAAATGGGAAATTCATATGTATTTTGTTTCCTTATAAAAATTATACAGGTTATACAATCCAAAAGTATCTAGGATACATGATTCCTAAGGAAATCTGAAATGCTAATGTCTAAAGAGTCTTGACTACAGAGAGAGGTGTTAAGATGAAAGTCCTGTTCATTCCACAGTGCATGGGAAGATTTTTTTTCCAATTAGGCACATGAAGATTATTCATGGTTTTTGACTACCATCTGATTATTTTTGTCCCATTCAGGTACTTCTGACCCGAGCAACCATCCATTAGCTCTGCCAGGAGAAACAGCTATTCGGCATGCCACCATATCAACAACTTGCCTAGGAACTGTCTGCAATCCCAAATCCCAAGAATATCTGGATACCAAGCATCACTTCTGCATACTTTCATAAATGCTAATTATCCAGTAACATATCAAGGAAGTAAATAAAGACCCTAGGAGGTTCCTACATGTCCTAGTTCAGACAAGAGGGCAAAAACATAGGAGGCAAGGATGTGTTGCAGAACAAAATGGAGGGTATCTCCAGCACAATGGAAAATACATTTAAATACGTAAAGTGAAAACCAAAAAGAAATGTGTGTAGGGTAAGGTCATGGGAAAAACCTGGGAAATAGCCATGCCAATGTAGCAAATATTGTACCATCCTTAAGAGAGGAGACATTCTCTTTTAGTAGTACGTATTTTTTAAAAAGTTT